GACTATATAAAGCAGTTAGAGTGATGCTTATCTCTAAGAGTACAAGAGAAAGAGCAGTATGAAGCACATAACAGCAGTACTGTTGCTCATTACTTCATCAACATCACTTGTGTCCTCTCTTGGTTACACTTTCTATAGTCTCTGTCCTCACCTAGAGTCTCCTGGTAATGGTCGTGTTTCAACCACTGGCCATACTTTTGGTAGTCTAGCCGTGTACCGATGCTACCGTGGATTTATACTTGAACCAGCTGAGTTCAGTACCAGGAGGTGTCTACAGGGAGGAGTATGGTCAGGACTACCGCCAAGATGCCGTTAGTTCAAAAATAATTTCTAAAAAGAAATAGTTCATCTATCTTGCATGCATTTAGGTTCACCAGTTACTTGTTCAAGTTTATTAGCTCCAGCAAATGGTAATGTTGATATCAGTAGGAGAACTCCAGGTGGTGTGGCAACATACTCATGTAATGAAGGATTTACACTCCAGCCCTCAACATCAAGAACAAGGGCATGCCAGAGAAATGGAAGGTGGAGTGGAGTTGGCCCAATATGCAGAGGTATGATAATAATAATAATAATAATAATAATAATAATAATAATAATAATAATAATAATAATAATAATAATAATGCACTTAAAATTATACACACAATATTTAGCAAATAGAACTAATTGTGGTGATCCTGGGACACCAGTTAATGGGAGGAGAGTATTAGGAACCACACTAGAGGGTGACACTGTTAGATACTTCTGTAGACAAGGCTTTGAGTTAGTAGGAAATCGAGAAAGAGTGTGTCAAAGCAATGGGCAATGGTCTGGCCAGTTACCTCTCTGCAGTAGACTGAGTAAGACAGTTGTGTCAGTCATAATAAGTACATTAACTCCTGTTTATAGTTGACTGTGGTGGTTTACTAAACCCTCTCAATGGGAGAGTATTGCTAACTGGTACTGATGCCGGCTCAAGAGCAACTTATTCATGCAATGAAGGGTTTGTACTACAAGGACCACAAAGACGAGTGTGTCAAGCTAATGGTCAATGGTCTGGTCGGGATCCAACTTGCAATCCAAGAGGTAGGATATGTACTATGAGAGTGTCTGTGATATTCACAAGGAAGTGCCATAATAATTAACAGAGCATGTTATTGTTGTGACTTAAATTTAAAATAGTTGTCATGGCTGCTTTTTAATGGTGTTATGTGACACCTTTTAAATCAATGCGTGAGGTATTGCTTAGGAACAGGCTGAAAAGGATGTGTCGCTAAGCAATGAAGAACACAATGAACAGAACAATAGTGCACCCTTGCATTAACAGTTGTGGACTGCGGAGGATCGAATAAATTTTGATTACATATTAATAATTGTTTTGTACTGCAGGAAATAGCTGTGGGCAATTGCCTAATCCAAGAAATGGCCGTGTAACACTAACAGGTACAACTGCAGGATCACTAGCAGTATATACTTGTAGGAGAGGCTTTAGACTAGTAGGCAATGTACAAAGATCTTGCCAAAATAATGGACAGTGGTCCGGGAGTGAGCCAATATGCAGAAGAAGTAATTTGGAGGACAGCTTGAAATTGATATTTTCTTTAAAGATATTGTTTTTCCCCCAACAGTTTCCCCGCCACTACCACCTGGAACCTCCTGCCCAAATCCTCTCAGTCCAGCAAATGGTCAAGTACAATTAGTAATAACTAACAATAGGATCACAGCTACATACAGTTGTAATCCTGGCTTCCGTTAGTAAGAGGATCACGTGTTAGGGTTGTCAAA